TAAAGCAACTAAGAGAGAGAATTGACTCTAATTTTGAAAGAAATTCTCCTGTGGGAAAAATCCTATCAAACTAACTTGCATGCTACATAGAAGTCTTTCCTAAAAGGAAGAATAAACTGATGCAGCAAACTTCATTGCTGCCTTATTTGAAAAAGTTGCCAGAGTCACCCCAATTTTTAGCAACCACCATTCTGATCAATCCGTAGTCATAAACATCAAGGCAAGACCCTCCAGCAATAAAAAGATTAAGACTCACTGAAGGCTCAAATAACCACTAGGATTTTAGCTTTAAGTATTTTTAAATTAAGATACGTATTTTTTTAGATCCAGTGGTATTGCATACTTAATTGACTACAGTATAGTGTAAACACAACTTTTATATGCACCAGAGAAACAAAAAATTTGTCTGACTCATTTTGCTGCAATATTTGCTTTATTTCAGTGATGTGGAACAAAACCTACAATATATCCAAGGTGTTCCTGTACCTTTTTTTTTTTTTTTTTTTTTTTTTTTTGCAGGTGAATAAGCAATCCTTTTAACAAAAAGAAATAAACTTCAACTTTTTCAAAGATGTGAGATGAGCACATTTTTCCTTGTGTTCTACACCTTGAGACACATTTTATGGGAATAGAAGCATAAAGTATTTACTCAACCTCAAAATAATTCCTCTGTATAGTTTCCTGCATATTTCTTATTTGGCTCCCATTCATCCCTTGGATTAAATTTCACAAGTTTATAACCATTTGTTAATATAATACTAAAACTCAACAATGAGCCTCAACAGGTTTAGAAAATCATTCTCCAGGCTTTAAACCAGTGTCTCTTAACAGGTGTTGAGAGAAAAACTAAAGAATGTGGTATGTGCTATGGGGGAAAAAATTCTTCCCTTGTGCAAATAAACTTGGTTGCCTAAGCATTAAATAGACTCCAACAAGCTCTTTTCTTTCCATAAATTTTTCCTAAATATGCTAATCCAGATTGCTAATATCCAAGAGAGGAATTTAATATAAGACATTTGTCAAGCTGTTTTGACCAAGGAAATCTTAGAAAGTGAGTATCTCTAATAAATTGTGTCTCCACTGAATTGAATTTGGAAAATACTGAAATATTTCCCAGAGAAGTCTATCTTTAAGGAACTTCAGAAGAAATAATCCTAAAAATGTCCACACAGTAACTATCGTTTTTACTTTTCTTGCTAACAGATAACACTGTTCCCTCTTCTTACATTCAAGGGGAAAAAAAAAGGAACATCCAGTACCCATTAACTCCCTGAAGGCAATTGTATCTTTATCTTTTCTGTCTACTGAATACTTCTAATTCCTTTAATCTTTCTTTAGAAGTCCCATTTTAAAACATGTGAGTGACTATTAGTGCTCCCTAAATCTTCCACAGTTTTTCTGTATTTTCTTAATAATTTCAGCTCTAAACTTTGAAAACAAAAGTGAAAAATTAAATAAAACTTTTTTCTCAGTGATTCATAATTATAACAGTTATCAGTATTAGAATCATATTATTTTTTAAAATAGGAGCACTATATTGCATACTGTTTAGAAAAGACTGCATATTGAATCTGTGAGCCCAGAATGCAGGGAAGAAATTCTGGATCAAGTTGGCATGTCTTTTAACTTAGTTATTTCTTTCATTTCTGTCATTTTTTTCCTTATATAGTCTTAATAGGAAAGACAATATGCATAAGGCTCATTTTTTTCACCTTATTTAAACTCTATTCCTATCTTAACCAGGAAATTGGGTTTCTGGTATAGAAACTTTATAACACAAAATATTTATGCATCTAGGATATAAGATTTTCTCCATCATAAAATGAAAAGGGTTTTGATTTGGAAATACAGTCCAAAGGGGGGAAAAAAACAAAACACCATTAAAGTGAAATTTATCTCAAAATAACCAAACCATCAAAGGCTTATTTCTATTTTCTTAAGAGAAAAATATATTCATGCCTATCTGCTATAAACCCCAAATGAATGAATCCTTCAGGACTAACTTCCCTTGATAATAAATCTGCAATGTTAAAAAAAAATCCAAAATAACAAATTGTATAATCTTTGGGGACTTGGATACTTGAAAACTCAGTCTAAGGGCTGAAATGAAAGAAACAGACCAGTAAATTGCTAGTTTGATGGCAGAGGGGATGGTGGCAGTAGTTAAAGGGTGACTGATAGCAGGGAAGGCAGGATCAGGAAGGCAAAGATAGCAGACTTTTGTCTGTAACACAGCACAGCACGTGTGTGTGTATGCACGAGTGTGTGTGTGTGTGTGTGTGTATGTATGTGTGTGTTTGTGGATGGGGGTGGTGAAAGTAATGGCAGCAGCAGAGGCAAAGCCAAGAGTGATGGCAGGAACAGCAATGAAAGAAACATCACACGATGCACAATACTTGGCATGTTTGTAGTCTGGAGGCAAGATTTAAAGAAAATCAAAAGTTGGTACCCAAATGAGAGGAAATCAAGTCCACTAAGCTGAATGAAGAGGCAAGTCAGACAACCAGCTCCAAGACAAGCACCACAGAATACAACTGGGATTAGACACACTGTCATATCCATCAATGTTCAAGAGCAAGAGGAGCAAGGGGCTGCACACAGGAGTGCTGGATAAATTCCAATGCATGTTTTATTGCAGCTGCAACTGTCTTTTAATATTGTAGCTGAAAAAGCCTCATCTTTCTTCATTCAGTCTTAAAGGGCTTCTGATCACAGTGCGTAATTAGGTCTTTACAGTAGACGACCGAGTCCTCTCAGAAAGCAGTAGTTATGGTCACAATAGACACATGTAGTGTTGGGGGTGATGGATAATACCAACAGCTGAAAATCTACCTGTGATAATTAAGAAACCAGGGGATAAAGAGCAGGAGGAAGCAACAGTCAAATTATTCCAAGTATAGGTACTTTCTAAACAGAGCATGACTTGGGAATTTTCCTCAGGTTTCTCATCTTATTTCTATATCCAAAAATGGAATCTTGACAGTCAAGTATTTTATGTAGTGCTTCTTATTGCTAATGTCTGAGTCAGTCATGCAGGAATCAGAATCTACTTCGAGAAGTTTTAATAAGGATAACTTTAGATCTGGACAGGGTGAAGAAAAATAAAAAGGAACATTGCAGCACCCAGGGAATGGCAACAGAAAGAAGTTACGACTGGTCTAAGGACAAGAGAAAAATAGTGTTACTGAAGTACAATTAGAGCTGGAGGCATAGAAAAGAGGCACCCAACCAGGGTCACAGTGATAAAAAGATGTAGTCACTGCTAGAAATCATGGCTTAGAGCAGGAAAGAATGGCAGGGATGGGGGTATAACCCAAACTCTCTCTCTTACACTCTGTTCTCCTACCATTGTCTTGCATTTGTTGGATTTTTAAAAGAAGCCAACTATCAAGGGGGCCTAGGTGGATGTAGCTTATAGAAGTCAAGGTTAGCTTCTCAAGGCATAGAACAAGACAGAGAAGAGCAGAACATGGATCTGGGTGGGTTGAGTTACAGATAATAACCTGTAGATATTTTATGGAATTAATTGGACACATAGTTAAACCACGCCTAAAATTAATGCTCTTGGTCACAAATATAGTCTTCCCTGTTTGGCTTCCCTAATGTAAGGTCCTCAAATCATAAGAGATGGGTCATGAGTGGTAGGAAATTCAGAGTTATTAAAACATGTTCCAGAACTCATGTGTGTGCCATGTATTATTTGCCAAAGAATGGGAGTCACTAACCAGAATAAACAAAATTGTGTGAGGTACAGCAGTCTTCTGAAATAATTTTAATATTGGGAAATATATTCTAGATGTTTCCTTCTTAGTATATTTGGATGGTGACAATGAAAAATTGTTTTGCTTTTAACGCTGGTCATTTAAAACTGATTTCTTAATTTCTTAGCAAAGGTTAAATAATCATTTCTGTCTCTTCTTCAACAAGTGCTGGGTTCACTCGGTGTTTGATAAGTTCATTTAAAAATGGAGTTATAGACACTCTCTAATAACATGCATCATGTGGTGTTTGATTTTGTTCTTGCAGTTGTCGGTTAATCAGTTTGGTTTGGGATTTAGTTACAAAGAACAGAGCCTCAGTTTGGTATCAGCGGTTCTTTCTGACCCAAAAGTCATTATATCTTCTTTATAATATTCTCTCATTAAAACTGATGTTAGCCTTCCTTGTTGACTAAACGCATGGTATGGACTTTTACTACATTTTTTTCTTTCTTGCTTGCTTTTTTTTTGAGATGGAGTCTTGCTCTGTCACCCAGGCTGGAGTGCAGTGGCACAATCTCAGCTCACTGCAGCCTCTGCCTCCCAGGTTCAAGCAATTCTCCTGCCTCAGCCTCCTGAGTAGCTGGGACTACAGGCATACACTGCCACACCTGGCTAATTTTTGTATTTTTAGTAAAGATAAGGTTTCACTATGTTGGCTAGGATGGTCTTGATCTCCCAACCTTGTGATATGCCCCCACCTCAGCTTTCCAAAGTGCTGAGATTACAGGCGTGTGCCACCGCACCCAGCCTATTACATTTTTTTTTCTAAAAATGACTTTATTGAACTGATTATAAATATCACAAAATAGTGCTTCCATGAATGTAAGATTTTCATATGTGTGTGTATGTATATACCATCAAAACAGAATCTAACTTTATAACATAAAAACATTATATATTTAAAGTGAAAATAATAGCTGAAAAGGGTAAAGAAATTTTCAAAAATAAAACCAATTTTTCTATGGCAGGTTATGGGGGTAGAAGGAGAAAAAGTGTGAGAAACAGTAGCCACACTCAAAGCATGGTTAAAGGATTATACCAGCTCATCAAAATTATACTGCATATTATATGGATAAAAGTATTAAAATTGTTCAACAGAAAAATCATCCGAACAAAAGAGGTAAGTCATGACTATGGTGGATGGTCAGGAAACACAACTGCTGTTTTTCCATGGGAGCTTTTGTTGCTACTTTTCTAACACTTCAATGATTGAAAAGAAATCAAACTGCGAGAACTTACTGCCACTCCAGTGAGCCCTGGGGGATTTGTCACAAATTTGGAACTTGAGTGGCCTCAAGCTTCACAGGTCTGCTCCTCAGAAGTGACAGAAAGCAAAGAGAAAGCAGAGCATTAGTTACATGCAACTGAGCACCTACATATTTTCAAATGGTGGGTGAACTTCAGGCCACCTTTTAAGTTTTACATTAGACCAAATGACCAAAAGATTTCCTCTAAAGCATGTGCTATTCTTAGGAGTTTCCAACAACAACCATTATTTTGTAGCTATTCACAGATAATTCTGAACCTACTCTTGCCTAATAGAAAGCTTCTTAAACACTGAAAATTGGATAAATAACTACAATATAGAGTGACTTTACAACTCCTTTTAGACTATTTTATAGGGTGTCATTTTACTAAAAACCTCAGAAAGGATAGGAACATTCAAGGAACTTAGCTCTTGATCCTAGAGAGCTGGTGAACATCAACAGCTGATTCTGATAGCAGATTGTAGAGAGTGCAATTGACTCCAGCTACACGGTGCCCTGTATTCCCTGAATAATGATATAATCACTAGAAAAAAGTGTGTTTACTCTTTGTCTGCACTTTAAACAAAAGTATACCACTTGAAGCATTTATTCAAATATTGTTTCATTCTAAATCAGTGTTTCTTAAGTGAGGCCCATGAATTGTAATCACCTGCAGTGTTTGATCAAAATGCAATTTCCTAGCCCCCATTACCAGGTAATTCATATGCATGTTAACATTTGAAAACCACTACTACAAAGAACTCATGTATTGTATTAGCAATAAGAATATGAATATTAGAATCTACTTTGCTATACTGTTTGATACTCTTAAAGATTTTATGAAAAAAAGGAAAGTTAAGGAGAAAATAGTTTGAGTAATTTGAATATGTCTAAAAATTATCTAATATAAACTATAATACATAGTTTTAAATTTCTAATTCCCCACCTCTCCTGACCCCCACTTTCTAGTTAAGGATTTTGGATTAAAGTTGATTCTAGAATTCTGAATAATCATGTATTTTCTACTTCCACAGTCTAGAAGAAAAGAATCTAAGCTTAAAAAGCAAGCAATATTTTGGCTGATTCTTAAACACTTTTAAAAGAGCCTCACTATTCTATATTTCATCATTTTATGTAGTAAATCATAAATCTTAATACTAATTAATGAATTTTTAGGGACATTTTTATTTAAGCAACTTGTTTCCCATAAATTATATAACCTAAGCCAGGAGCTTCTCAACTACAAAGAAGTATCAGATCAAGAAAACTTCCATTATGCATAAAGTGATAGAACAACTGATGTTTTAGGAAGAGCTCGATTAAATACATATAAGGAGGGAGCAAAATGATCAAGAAATTGGTTGGTTATAAATTAAACACTCAAAGTACAAATAAAAACTTATCTATGTACCAGCAATAAAGGGAGAAAATAGAAAAAAAGAAAATAAATATGCACCATACAAGCAAAAATATAAAATAGCTAGAAATCTAAGAAAGCTAACAATGAAACTGTAAATTTTACTGAGGGACATGAAAGATCAGGCCCTCTTCTCTTTTCCTTCTTTTTCCTTACTGAACATTATTAAACTAAACTAACTGGGTAAGACAGAGGAAAGTAGGCATCTTAATGGGGGAGGGTTTGCATCCAAGATGGCCCAGAGAAAGGGATCAGAGCCTGAGCATGGTGAGGAGAGGTTTCAGACAGGGAGGTAACACTGTGGGGAGCTAGAGGATTTGGAGAATGAGGAATCATCCAAACAGAGGCAAGTTCAGACATAGACTGTTCAATCCCAAACAGGATGAGGGTGTTCCTGCAGGAGGGCAGCCCAATAAGGAGCATCAGAGCCCAGGTGGGGTGAGGAGGACATCTGTCAGAGGAAGGCACAGTGGCAGCAATGGGAGACTGGTTCAATACAGGGCAATTGGTCAAATAGGTAAATATCTTAAGAATCATAAAAGCCGTGTTTCTCATTAACATAAAAATGTTGCAAATATGAAAAGGGAGAAAACCCAAATAATTATGTGGTGTTTGATTAGAATTTTAGGTAGTAGTGTGAACTCATTATTTTTAATAGAAAGATATAGAAATATAAAGAGATATAAATTGGATAAATATATATTTCCGAACTCTGTCCACTGAGAGAGCCTGTGAGGAGTGGTTCCCAAATAGTAATGAGGATACCCAGCACCCAAATATTGGCTTCAAATATCACTGTCCTCTAAAAGGAAATGAGACTTCTAAAAGATAACATAGGAAATAAGTCTAGAGGACTTTGGGTTTGGCATTAACTTTTATACACCACTCCAAAGACACAATCCACAAAAGAAATAATTGATAAGCTGTACTTGACTACAATAAAAAAAATATGCAAAAGACACTACTAAGAGAATGAGAAGACAAGCCAAAGACTAGATGAAAATGTTTATTAAAGATATATCTGATAAAGGATTCATCCAAAATATACAAGGAACTCTTAAAACTCAACAGTAAGAAAATGAATAACCTGATTAAAACATTGGCCAAAGTCCCTAGCAAACACCTCACCAAAGAAGCTATACAGATGTAAATAAGCATAGAAAAAGATGCTCCACATCATATGTCATTAGAGAAATGCAAATTAAAATACTAACGAGGTACTTCCACACAGCTATTAGAAAGGGCAAAATCCAGAATGCTGACAACACTAAATGCTGGCAAGGAGGTGGAACAAAAGGAACTCTCATTGACTACTAGCGAAAATACAAATGGTATAGCACCTTTGCAAGTCAGTTTTTAAATTTCTTACAAAAGTACTTACACTTGTACTGAATGATCCAGCCATCACACCCCCTGGTATTTCCACAAAGAAGTTGAAAACTTATGCCCATACAGAAACCTGCACACAGGTGTTTATAGCAGTTTTATCTATCATTTCCAAAATTTAAAAGAACCCAAGATGTTCTTCAGTAGGTTAATGGATAAACTATCATGTATCCTGACAAAGGAATATTATTTAGCACTAAAAAGAAATGAGCTATCAAGCCATGAAAAGACATGGAGGAAACTTACATGCTTATTACTAAGTGAAAGAATTCAATATAAAATTGTTACGCACCATATGATTTCAGATAAATGACATTTTTAAAAAGCCAAAACTATGGAAATAGTAAAAAGTTTGGTGGTTGCCAGGGGCTGGTAGGGAGGAAGATATAAATAGGTAGATCATAGAGCCCTAGAAGATTTGTAGAGCAGTGAAACTATTCTGCATGATACTATGATGGTGGGCATATATCATTATACATTTGTGGAATCCACACACTGTATTACACCAACACTGAATTCTAATGAAAATTTGGATTTTGGATGATAATTATGTGCCAGTGTGGATTCACTGTTCATAACAATGTATGACTCTGGTGTAAGATGCTGATAATAGAACAGGATATGCAAGAATGAGGGCAGGGCATATATGGGAAATCTCTGCATCTTCCAATCAATGTTACTACAAATGTGAAATTGCTATAAAAATTAAAGTATATTATATATATATCTAAAAATCATGGCAAAAATTGATTACTGAATTTGAAAAATGCTCACAGATACTGATTTCATCATATTTCATACAAATAAAAAGTTATATAAGTACAAGAAAGATTTTGTATATTGTATATGTGTGCTAGATTTGATAAGAAAAGTACATGAATAAAAAGAAATTATTTGCTCCATATTTGCCCAAAACTACACTTATTCAGAAAGAAACAAACCAAAATGTAGATTAAAAACAAAAAAAAAGGAACACAAGGATCCTTGGAGAAATGGCTGGTTCAACAGCTAGAGAAGGAAAAGCACAAGATGATCCAGGAACATCTTACTGGGCCAGAAGGCAAGAAAGTGCTTTCAGTATTATAGGGTTATGGTAAAAGTTCACGTATTCTACCCTAACATGTTTCTACTAGTGAAATAGGGAAAATTTTAGCATGAAAGAATAAAATGAGAGTAATAAAAACTGTGACCCATTTAATGAAAATAGAATGAATACATACTGATACAGTCAATTAACTAATTAAAAGTTAGCTGGGCATGATATATTACAAAGGGGAAAAGAATACTGTCTTCCTCTGTTTGTATTGCTATCAGAAATATCTGAGGCTAGGTACTTTATAAAGAAAATATATTTGGCTCACAGTTCTCCAGGCTGTGCAAGAAGCATGGTATCAGCATCTGCTTCTGGTGCTGCCAGGAAGTTTCTGCTCATGATGCAAAGCAAAGAGGAGCTGGTATGTAAAGATCACATGGTGGGAAGCAAGAGAGAGGAGAAGGAGATGCCAGACTCGTTTTAACAAGTAGATGGCAAAGGAACTAAGAGTGAGAACTCATTTAATCCCATGAGAATGAGGACATATCCCTCATAACCCAAATACTTTTCACTAGGTCACACCTCCTATATTAGGGATAAAGTTTTAACAAGAGTTTTAGAGCAGACAAATATCTAAATGATATTAGACACCTTTACAGGGGAGAAGGCTGGTAGATACCACCTTAATCAAGAGCCACCTGATAGGATGCAGTAAGATAATAGCTTCACTTCTGTGACATTTTTCCAAAACATGCATCTCATAAAAGTAATCATGAAGAAATATCAGACAATTCCAAATTTAGACACTATAAAACAACAGTTCTATAATCCTTAAAAGTGTCGAGAGAGTGATATTATCAAAAGGGTGGAGTAAGAGCAATTTAGTTTTACTCTCCCTCATAGGAAACCAAAATCAATTATCTAGAGCCAAGATTATCACCAGGGATATCCCAGAACTAAAAACTGAGGCTGTGATGACTCCAGGTATTACAGAGAAGTGAAAAATCACAAGCAGGAGGGAAGAGAAACAAAACTCTGGCCACAACACCCTTCCCCTACCCAGGCACTATGCAGAAAGGTTCTACCAGATTCAGATTTTACCCTGGAAAAAGTGAGATCAAGGAAGTCTGACAGTTTCGTCACCAGTTAGGTTTCTTCACAGGAAAAACATTTCTGCTTGAATCCACAGGAAGCATCACAAATGCCTGTAGGGTAAAGGCTTCTAAGGGAAACTAAAGGCATAAAATAGAGGTGTGGCTAGTACCAGCCAATGCACAAAACTCAGTAGCTATTCTTCAACTGTCAAAGGAGATGCCAAATCACCAAATCTGTTCAGCAGCAACATGCTTTAGGGGAAGTACTTCAGGGGCTCTCTGGGCATAACCCTTAGCCAGCTTTCCCACACAGCGGGGATATACACTTTAGGATTCCCCCACGCCCAATCTGGGACAGGCAGCATTCTCAAGTTATTTGTAAGAATTGTGGCAAATCTGATCAAGGGTGCCATCTAATGCAGAAAAGGAGGCAGTGTTCTTGGGCTGAGGGTACTCAAAAATCAACCTGCACAGGGCTTCTAGTCATACGTAATCTAGAAAGACCAAACCAAGGCAGACAGAAAAGACTGAAATAAATAACTAAACCTTGAATGCAAAGACATAGACAAACATCCATAAGAAACAAAATCAAACAGGTAGCTATGACCTCCACGAAAAGACAAAAAAGGAGCCAATGTCTGACCCTAAGAATATGGTGATTTGTGACCTCTCAGATCAACTACTCAAAACAGTAGTTTTGAGTGAACTCCAAGATAACACAGCAAATCAGTGCAGAAATTTATTCAGATAAATTTAACAAAAATAATAAAATAATAAAAGATAAATCAAACAGAAATCCTGGAGTGGAGAAATACAATGGCTAGATAGAGAAATACATTAGAGGTTATTGCCAGCAAAACTGATTAAGCAAAAGAATCAGAGAGTATGAAGACAGGCTGTTTGAAAATACACAGTCAGAGGAGAGAAAAAAAGAATGAAAAAGGAAAAAGAATGTCTACATGATCTAGATAGCCTCAACAGAGCAAATCTAATAGCCATTGACCGCCAAGAGGGAGTTGAGAAATGGCAAGGTGTAGATAACTTATTTTAAAAATGATAACATAAAATATTGCAAACTTAGAGAAAGATTATCCAGATACTAAAAGATCAAAGATCACCAACCTGATTTAACCCAAATAAGACTACTCTAAAGCATATAATAATCAAATTTTCAAAGGCCAAAGACAAAAGGAGGATTGTAAAAGCAGCAAAACAAAAGAAACAACATATAAAGGAGCTCTAATTAAAGACATTCCCAAACACACAAAAGCTAAGGAAACTCATGACCACCAGACTGAGCTTATAAGAAATGCTAACGGGAGTTCTTCAGTATGAAAGATAAGAATGCTAATGTGCAAAACGAAAACATCTGAAAGTATAAAACAATGGAAAAGGCAAGTACAAATACAAATGCACAATACTCTAAACTTGTGACGTATCAACCACTCATACCTTTAGTATGAAGACTAAAAGACAAATCTATCAAAAATAATTACATAATTTCTTAAGAGATAGGATATATAAAAATATAAATTGAGACAAAAAAGGTCAAAATGTGGGGAGATGGAGTCATTTTTTTTCTTTTCTTTGAGTCAAAGTTAAGTTGTCATCCGTTTAAGTTGTTATAATCATAAAATATTTTGTAAGCCTTATGGTAATCATAAATCAAAAATAATACAGATATGTTAAAAATGAAAAGAAATTAAAACATACTACCAGAAAAAAATCATGTAGCCAAAAAAAGACAGTAGAAAAGAAAGGAAGAGAGAACTTACAATACAACCAGAAAATCAGAAACAAAACAGTAGTAGTAAGTCCTCACCTATCAATAATAATATTGAATGTAATAAACTAAATTATGCAACTGAAATAATAAGACCCAATTATATGCTGCCTACAGGAAACTCACTTCACCTATAAAGATAAACATAGACTAAAAGTGAAGGAGAAAAAAAAGATTCCATGCAAATGGAAACCACAAAAAAAGCAGTAGCTAAACTTATATCAGATAAAATAGACTTCAAGTCCAAAACTATCAAAAGAGACAAAGAAGGTCATTAAATAATAATAATTGGGTCAGTATAACAGGAGGATATAGCAATTGTAAATATATATGTACTCCAACATTGGAGCACAAAAATATATAAAGCAAATATTAATAAATATAAAGAAAGAGACAGGCTGTAACAGTAATAGTAGGAGACATTAATGCCCCTCTTTAAGCAAGGAACAAGTCCTCCAGACAGAAACTCAACCAAAAAGAAAAGAAAATTAGAGTTTCTAGACCAAATAGACCTAACTGATATTTATAGAATATTTCAGCAAACTGCTGAAGAATACATATTATTTTCCTCAGCATATTGAACTTCTCCAGGATAGACCATATCTTAGGTCATAAAACAAGTCTGAACAAATTCAAAAGAGTAGAAATCATATCAAGTATCTTTTCTGAACACAA